CCCATTTTTATTCAGTGGTTTACAAGGTCAGAAGGCGAGAGAAACGTTTCTGGATCTTAAAAAGTTTTACAATTTTTTTTGTGTGGCCAACCCAAGCAATCTTTTCTATCTTAATCATTCTTGTCCCTACCGGGCTTATTATTTCTTCCTTTGAGTTTGTCATCATGGTAAACTCCCTCTAGTGACCAAAACGGAATTTCTCCTTACAGCACTGCTCCAATTTCAAGCAGAGAGGTGATAAATACAAGGAAAAAATGTCAATAAGGGATACTGTTGAACACCCAATTCTTAGAGCTTAAATTCCAATTAATACATGGTAGACTATGTCGGAAATTGATTTTTTTAAAATCTTTAGATGGAAAGGGTTAAATTTGTACCACCCAGGGACGACACGTTTCAACCCGTTTGAACGACCTAAAATGCAGCCTTGCACTGCCAATGCCCAAAAAGTGAAAGTTGCTGCTTACTTAAAAACCGTCTTTGATGTGGATACACTTATCGATGTTGCCGTTGTTTTTATCGATTGTAGAGCGGCAAAGTTAAAAGGAACTGGGCGACTCATCTCGCTTCGTTTTGAACTGTTTTCAGACAAACTAATTAAGATAAAAGAGACAGTTAGTAATTGACTACATTCCGTCGTGGAATGTAAAGTGCAAGCTAACCAATCATAAACATGCTTATATAGTAGAGGAGCCCTCATCTAAAGATCTATCGACCGTTTGTCGGTTATTTGATCAAGTGTTTTTTCCCCAAGCCTCTCAAACACGATGAAGATCAAACTTCTTGTTCTACTATACTTCAATACACTTTCAATCAGACAGTCGAGGAGAAGATTACAAAGGATCAATTGTCTAATCTTGAGTTACTGCCACTTAATTAGTGCGCGCTGCGAGACAAACAAAAATATGTGGGCTGGCAGATTTTTCATTTTTAAAATGGATCGTTGTGGTGAAAAATAAGAACCAGGTCTTATATACTGGTGATATTTCATCCTACAGTTTTAGTTACATTAACTCATTTGCATTCCACAGACTTAGTAGTTGAAAGATGGATTTGAGATAATGGCACTGATATTGGTTTGACGAATCAAGTTATATCGATATTCCTCTAGGATCTCGAGTATTCTTTGTCATTTTCAAAGTGATAGAAATATCGACGTCGCCATGTAAATAAGATTTGTAAAAGCCAAGTATACTCTCAGGAGCAAGAAATGAATTAAAATTAAGAGTTTTCAGATAAGATTTCAGTAAACCGTGTTGTTATAACGAAGAATTTGATGGTTCAGTTTTCGATGATGGATGTACAATGTCGATGCGCAGACTTTTCAGTACTTAACCTTTGGTAGTTTTACGAGTCTTCTTCTAATTGAGCTTTAAATTAATATATTTGAGAAAGGGTCAATGTCTGTCCCTTTGGAGTTCGACTTTTGTCGGATTTTCTTACGCTATTTTTCCTTATTAACTGTGGAGTCCCATCCAGGGGAGAGTAGTAATACTCGTAGTTGGTTCATGTAAAGTAAAACAGGATCAGCTATGGCTGGATGGGTCACTTGGTTCGAGTATAAATTTTACCTGCCTTTACTCTCAGCAGAACATCAGCGACAACTCCAATTCAATCTTAAATATTTGTTTTTGGAAGTGGTTCCCAAATTTTTGTGGTAACTTCTGTTAGTCGCATTTCATTTCACATTTTCTACAAAATTATATATTTTATAAGCGGTGCCTTTATTCGTCATGCATCGTCGGTTCAGAGGCAATAACTGCGAAGAAAACTCTCAAAAAAATGCCTTGGTTTTTGGCGCTTTCCTGTTTCAATTTTTATAAAGGAATAAATTGAATTCTTGCAGTTTAACTTAATTTAGCAATGCTATTTCACACGCTCACGAGCCAAACTTAAATTAAACCCTACCTTCTCTTGGAGTTATTTCGTTGTTCATCAATGGATGTTTTATCTTTACTGAGTTTAAGTGTTATTGATAAGATTGTGAGCTTTTTTCTTCTTGTGAAGATATTTATGCTATTTGACTGTAAAAGGCAAGACTTAGAAATAGCCTTAGGTGGGGTAAAAAGCTATAAATGTAAGGTCCAAGATAATTAAGCGTTTCAACGTTTCCCTCTAAACCACTATATTACCGTACTAAATTTAACTTTGGCATGCTTTACCGGATGTAAGATATTCGCTTCGGAAGAAAACGCAATATTGCGCGAATTATTTAACTTATTATCTTTCCTCGGCATCACTTACATAACTCTTAGGGGCAGGCTTTTTATTTGTCTGTCAACTGCGTCATAGCAGAAACGCAGCTATTTAAATATCTTCAATTTGTAGCTGTTATTTGCTTGCAAAAAATCTTAAGTGGAAACATCTCTTTAAGTTCCCCGGCGCTGCGGCAACTTCGACATGGAAACCAAGGCCATTTCTATAGGAAAAATTTTCAGTTTTTGCAACAACAACAAAGCGTTGTCGTATACTGTGCTTTTTCTCGTTGTGACAAATATTTTAGCGAAGTTTTCTACCGTATTTGAAGCACCATGTGTGTCGTGCACAGTGACAAGGACATTGTCAGGGTTTGGAGGGTGTTCTTACGATGCAGTTCCCTTTGCGTTTAATTCTCTTAAGGTATGGTTTGTTGATATTTTAAGTATTGATGTTGTGTGGCGTTAGTTTTACTATGAAGGAGTTCGTGTTCTCGCTAGGCTTACGCAATTTTTTGGCGCGAAAAGTTTTTGTAAAGTACGTTTATTCCCTTTAAGTAAATCGTTATTTCATTTAAATTTCATATCCTTAACTTATTTTTAAACCAGGACTGCTTTTTTTCCCATTAATTCTTCCGCGATAAGTTCGTTACCGAAAACCGTCAAAATGTAGCAAATTTTTAGCGAACTGTGTCGAAGCTGAGCTCGACTTTGCCAGCTATGAAAGCTAAAAAACTGAAGGAAAGTCAACGAATGGTATGAGAAATGCAATTTAAATCCCATTTTGGAATTTCGAAAGAGCTTTCCCCCTTTGCTAAAGCCTTACCATTTGCCTTTGCCCAGTTGAGATTTTAGTCTCGATAAGGTATGGGTGTATGGCCGCGATGCCTTAAAATGTCTACGTCATTTCCGCGCTTGCGGTAATAGTCTATTTGCTTGTCTCGTAGCATGTATATTTTTGTCACCATGTGGAAGAGTCGCGTTATGTTGAAACAATCTCTCAGTGGAATAATACGTGAATTCACTTTGAGGCCAACAATGTTTACAGATTCTTCCCCGAAAATGAACGATATCGAATTGGGGACTTGAGCTTTATTCATCTGTGAATAGATGTTTTATTAGTTACTACGAAAGAGAAGTGAAAAGGTAAACTAGCTGAGTTTTCTTACTGGATTTTGTGAAGCAAAAAAAAAAAAAAAACAAGCAAACGCGGTCTTGTTATGAAAGTAGTGATTGAGTTATACACTACCAGAAAATTGTGTACATTTCTCAAGTAACAAAGTTAAATTTATTTTAAAATCAGTGAACAACTCCTTACTCAGCCATAAATTCTCTCAATGTTTTATTAATGTTTTTAATATAAACCACATTTAACTTCCCACGAGCAATACCAAGGCATCTTAACTGAAAGTCCAAGTGCTCCTAGGGCCAAAATAAACCACCAGGGCAATCACGTGTTTTCGACGTGGAATGAACGAGATCTGTCTCACGTTCACTCAGCTACAAGTATTGGAATAGCTTGTGAAGGATACGTGAAGTCTAATGTTCATGAAGGTTGTATTTTATCATCCAGAAGGAATTTTGTGTTTCTTTACATAATCAGTAGAGTAATACTTTCGTCGACAGTTTTTAAGTTTGCATCTCTTTGCGTTTATCAAATCAGACAGCGTGGGAGCAGGTTAATTAGCAAATAAACTGAACCGAACTATGATCCTGTTGATATTGCTGTTATATCTATAATATCATTACTGACAATTACGTGGTTCTCATTATATTAGTAATGTGCTTGAAGACATTTTTTGAATTTGTCCTCGCGCCATAGTGATTAAATATTTCGTTCTCTTGAACCGAAGATCAATATTGTTTTTGAGTTAACCTTTGAGAAGACAAAACGTTTGCACGTGTATGTAATTGACTAACGATTTACGTAAAAGGATGGCGTGAGATACATTCACCTACGTTTTTCTCGTCGAATTCCAGAAAGAAAAAAAAAGTATATGCAAATACTTTTTTTTTAAGGTAGCTTTTGTTATTCGTTTGCGTCAATCCTTTTTGTTAAATTCTCCTATGTCGATATTGCCTTTGTGCAGAAACACTTGCTGCACTTCAAAGAGCTGGTCTGCAATGGGTTTAATGAATAGTTGAGATCGTGGGAAAAGATGTTACAGTTATTATTCTTAATGATAAAAAACTGAATTTTAAAGGAACATGCATATCTCTGTGTACACAATGTGCGTGCATGCGTTATCAGGTAACGCCCTAACCACGATATCACTTTATCTCCTTTGAGCTGGCCTCCTAAGTGAAAAGCACTTAATATTAATAGAGAGCTCGATGCTCGCAATGTATTCGCGGTCGCCAAGAAGATACCAATCTCTCCCATAATTGTTTAAGAATAAGAAATATTTCAACAACTTTCACTGCAGTTTTTGTGTATGAAGTTATGTTTCCATAATGGATACTGAATTTGGGAACATTTACTTTAATAAGCCTCAAGTTGTACGGCAGTGTTTGCGTGGTAAATCGTGTCTTCTGAGGCCACAGAAGGCCGAATAGATAGCTTTGACTTTCGTCTAATTGCTGAGAACATGTTTGTATGAAAGGATATGCATTACTTTGGATTCTGTCTGAGAGAATATCGTTTTCTGAGGCATCTATTAATTCCCTCAGTTTCTCACAGCTACTAGAGCGAACCTTATGCAGTACCGAATTTCTTTCGATTGAAAAATTGTATTACTCTCTTTTTATGTAACCTGCGCTTTTGAAAACCTTCGCCATTCAACTCAATTTTGCATTGATCCTCAGGCCGGTTCACCCCGGGCGCCACGCAGCCCTAAGGCACAGAGAATGGAGGATCAAGGCTCGCCTCTGGATTTCGAAAGGTCTCCCTTGTCCTCATCTGCTGCAGAACCAGGCCTTCGATCGGAGCCTCCTCCGCTCAGTGGAGTAGATGGTGATATCAAGCAAGCGTTTGGAGACCGAGCCACTGGCAGGAACTTGAGAGATGATCTGCTATTGGCTGCTGACAATGTGACTAGTGCGATGTCCTCGCTCGTCAAAGAACTTAATTCTGGTATGTATGTTCTTAGGGGTTATAGAGAGGTGTCTCAACTTTGTAACGCTCTGGTTCCATTTCTCACTGTTGTTGTTAATGTCGTAGTAAATTGGTTAGAGAAATTGGTAACCCTTTTGCGCTGATACGTTGCTTATTTGTTGGATAATGTGTAGATGGTGTCAGAAGAAATAGCGTGTTATCAAATTGATAACATTTACCCTTGGTTTAAGGGTAAAAGAGGACAACGTAATCTTGACCCTTGTTCACAAGCCTCCAAAGAGATAAGAATGCCCCTAAAATGAGCGAGGATGATTAAGGAAGGAGATTGTAAATAACAAGTCAAAGCAAGTGGTAGAAATAGAAATCACCCTCACCACAAGTTGATTGAAGAAGATAGATATGTTCTCTATGGTATCGAGTATTATCTTAAAAATAGTTTTAATTCAACTAAGCTGTTGAAATCCGCTCAGTCGTGAATAGTTAGAAAACGTATTTTGTCTAAGCTTTTTGGGGTGTTTATTCGTCAAAAGTATGTAACACTCGACAAACCTTCAACTTAATTTTGTTCTCTTCTTTCTTTATACAGAGGATGAAGACGAAGCGGTGAATTTTCCCAACGGAAACACAGATGACACTGATCTGGAGGCCCTTGAACAGCAAGTCAATCAGATTAGGGAATCACTGGAATCACAGGAAGCCAGGGAAAATTCAAACCTGACCAATGGAGACATTGTCATGACAGAGCCATCGGAGAAAGTTATCCTTCACGGTCCGAGCAGGAGCGGAAAAACTCCGAAGGGTCGACGAGCAGGCTCCGAAGGCGATACGGATACAGACGATGATGACCTCAACGCTCGCAAAGGAGATTACAAGACCTCGTCCCGATCTCAAATGACGGATGACGAGAGTTACATTCAAACCGACGACGACGAAGGTACCCAACGAACAGATGACGAAGATATGGAGTGGCAGGAATCAATCAAGCGATGGGTCAATCGATAGATGATTGCCAAGAATCGATAGATTGTTGTATATCTAAGATAATAGTGATCTTTATTTTTATATCTTTACTCGACCGTACAATGTCTCTTGTACTGATAATAATTGTGAAATGTGAAATTTTTACTTGGGTTTGTCTCCTTGTTACCAAACTTAAACGGAGTCTTGGCTAGACTTACGTGCACTTTTAACTCTGAAGACCCTCATCAAAAGTGAAAAAGTCTTTTTTTTTTTACATATTTTATATTTTCAAGTTTTTTCAAGGGTGTGCTACCTATCTTAACTGCGTGGGCAAGGCTGGCCTGCCGAAATAGCATTGAATGCTACCTCAAGCGCAACCTGGTTTCCAGGACGTTCTCCGCTCGGTCAAAACATGCATCTGTAACTTTGCTGAGAAGCTCTTCCTCGGTTTCGAGCAGACAACTAAGCAAGCGGGAACGCTTGGTGACTAGGATACTTTTGCGCTTGAATTTGCTCACTGACGAAGAAAATAGGGGTTTGGTCAAGCAAATTTAAGTCTTTTTATTTAATACTTTTTACAGATTATTTACTAATATTTCATTTTAGTTAAAAGTCCTGGTTTTTAACTTTATATTTTTTTGCTTGTCTCGCCCATTTCTTCGTACGAGTGTCAACTTTAGTTTGATTTTACGTGTAATGTAATTTAGTTTGATGAGATTTTACAATTGTTCTTTAGCCAAGTGAATGAAATGAGGTACATTGTTAGGTGATAACTTTCGATTCGTTATGATTTGCGTGGAAATCGATAATCATTTTCCGTTATTCGAACTCCACTTTACACTCCATCCATACGTATTGCATAACTTCACTTTCCTTTGAAGAATTTGCTTTTGCGTCAAATTCTTCGTGGAAAAATCAAATTACCCATTATCGTCATCCAGGTACTTATTTTTGCCATGAAAAGTGACAAGAAAATTTAATTGAACTAACTTCAGACGCGCGTAAAATAAATATAACGCAACTAAGATAAATAATTAATGCTACTTAATTCGCTTTTAATTCTAAATCTAATGTTTCATCGCTTTCTTGTTTGCTTTTTAAAACTTTGCAAGGTGTATACATTGATTAATTTTTTATTAACCGCTTGAAGGCTGTGAAAAATGGAGCTGTGAAAGGTTCCAATACGTGAAATGTGATGAATAAAAAACACATGTAATGGCGTTGTTTTTACTGTAGGTCATGTAGGGAGGAACGAAATGTCCAGGTTAAAGTGGGCGAAATGTGTACCCTTTATCTCTTAAGATCCGATTTTTCATTCTCCTCTCTAGCTGGTTTCGGGAATTTGGTGTAAGTTCAAGATATTAACTTCCTGATAATTTTGAATATTCTCATTACCAGTTTGCTGGATTATGTATGGATATTATGGGGAGAAATTCCATGTTAATCGCCTCAGGGAATTAATGAGCAAAGAGGGCTGGGAATTCGAGTCATGTCATGTGATTACGATCGGGAAAGAGACCAACGAGACAGCTTGGAACATACCTTCGTTCTGTAAAATCTTTCTGGTCTGATATGATTGTTATTTAAAGATCTGTAGGACTAAATTTATCTTTCCAGAACCTTCTAATCCAGACATCAGTATGATAAGAGAGATTTTGCTGATTTTTCATGGCCACGCTTTTTATATATGGCTTTGGCCAACTTGGGAACATTTGGACTTGAGTTTCATTTGAGGTCGTCACTTTTCGCTGAGTTAACACTGCCGACAAGACCAAAATAGTTGTCCTCAGTTTCATTCCAACACGCGGATCTAACTCTATCGTGCCACGGTCACGTTAGGTTTTCTACGTCGGTCAACGTGAAATGATCAGCCTTTACCTTTATGTTGGGTCTCAACCTCCGCCCCAGTCTTCTTTAAGCTTTTTTACATGGTTGCTGGGACGCCGGAGACCAGCATTACCAAAGACGTTATGTTCCCCTAAGTGTTCATCTCACGCGGTTTTAAACTTTGTTTAGTGAGTCAGAAGTTGTCTGATTTCCAATTTTTGCTTAAGTATGTATCCCACGTACAAGGCATACCCCCCCCCCCCCCCCCCCCTTATTGAGTTGCTTTCCCACACATTTTCGTCAAATTGTTCGAAACATCGATAATTCACAGTAGGAATTCAGGAAGACTTAAGATTCAGTTCACAATCTTTTTAGTGGTTATCAAGTTAGAACCGTACTTGTTACCTGTTCTTCTTGTTATGTTTTTTTTTTTTTTAACATAGCCTTAGTCATAATTAATGAGCTCTGTCATATGACAAAAATGATGGCGAAAATTTCATTCATCTTCGTGAACAGGTACCGTAATCCCTGGAGCCCTCCCGCGATTTCCACGCTTACGGAAAAGTCAACACGAAACGCGCGCGTTCTTTCGTAAGGTGAGGAGAACTGGGCAACAGATTGGTAAATCCAACATGGTGGCGGAGGATTTGAAATCTTTTGGAAAAAAAACCAGCTTGCTTCGATACAAGACCGGAAAGAGAGAGCACCTTGGCATCTCTTACTTTTAAAATATTATCGTCGTCATTTGGTGGTAAATAGACCAAAGATAGACGGAAAGAGTGGTCGGAAAAGGAAGATATCATGACCTCGTGTCACCAAAAGGTACGTAAGAAAATATTTCAAAACTTGCTTTCTCCCTTTTGATCTCTGCTGGATTATTCCCGTATTTTTTGAAGGAATTTTATTAGAAACTTTTAATGTGTAACTTAGGGGAACTCACAGGGGACTTACATGTAGACTCTGTTTAAGTGTCTAGATGCTGATAGAAGTAGAGGGTACACTTGGGGTGAAATTTGTTAGAAATGGCCGACACCCTCGCAAAATATTACTCAGAATATACTCCTTCATCAGTCATTGAGAGGCACTTAAATTTGGAGAATGTTAATCCTTAGAAATAACTTAACAATATTTCAAAATGACTCGTGATGTTTGTTGTTTGGAGATTTTGCTATGTAGACGCTAATTTATCACAATGTGGATGTAAAGTTTTCCTTTGTTGCCTGGCAATGAAACAATAACTCAGGCTGAACGATGATAAAGAGAGCCTGCTGGGAGGCTAGGCACAGTCCGAAATTTGCGTTTGGGCATTTATTCTCTTTTAAATTTCCAACTAAAGTACATCACAAATCATGGACGTGTTATGGATTTAGAAAATTATCATTTCCAAGCCATCTCTTCAGATCTTTGGCATCTTCAAACCTATGTCTTGAACGATGTTCCTTTATATTATTTTAATTGTTTCTTACCATTTCTTATCGATTCCTTCCTTGATCACAGAGGTGCTCCAAACAAAGAAGTCAGTTTCACCCAACAAATCACTATGAGGTCTTAATCTGTGATGCAAAGACTTGATCCCACAAAAAAAGAATGAAAAGGATATGCAGTGAGTGTGTTGATTGTTTTGGCCACTGGGCTGTCTTTATGTGCTGAACAGAGAGTGGACTTCGTACAAGAGATGGGTGACAAAGAGCTGATCACCCACAAAGGTGTCAGTTCCACCCAACAAATCTCTTCCTTAGTCTTAATCTGTGATGCAAAGACTTGGTCCCACTGAAAAAGAAGGAAAAGGATATGTAGTGAGTGTGTTGATTGTTTCAATCATTAGACTTTCTTTATGTGCTGAACAGAGAGTGGACTAAATTGTACAGAAGATGGGCATCTAAGAGCTGACCCAATTTCACCCAAAATATCTCTTCCTTAGTCTTAATCTGTCATGCAAAGACTTGGTCCCTCAAAAAAAGGA